GTGGCGGCGGCGGCGGCGGGGGAAGATGCTGCAGTCCCTGGCCGGCAGCTCGTGCGTGCGCCTGGTGGAGCGGCACCGCTCGGCCTGGTGCTTCGGCTTCCTGGTGCTCGGCTACCTGCTCTACCTGGTGTTCGGCGCCGTGGTCTTCTCCTCGGTGGAACTGCCCTACGAGGACCTGCTGCGCCAGGAGCTGCGCAAGCTGAAGCGGCGCTTCCTGGAGGAGCACGAGTGCCTGTCCGAGCCGCAGCTCGAGCAGTTCCTGGGCCGGGTGCTGGAGGCCAGCAACTACGGCGTGTCAGTGCTCAGCAACGCCTCCGGCAACTGGAACTGGGACTTCACCTCCGCGCTCTTCTTCGCCAGCACTGTGCTCTCCACCACAGGTAGGAGGCCCGCCGCGCCGGCCGCGTGGCCTCGCAGCTTCTGTGCGCCGACCCCTCCCGGGGACGCTGGTTCCGCGGAGCCTGAAGCTCGCGGGGTGGCTTGGGAGCGTGAGTTGGGTTTGCCGCCCCTAACTCTCGGGAAGCGGCCCCTTAGGCTTGGGTGGCAGCGCGGGCTTCGTGGACTACGCTCCTTTTTCGCGTTCCCCCTTCCCCCACCGCCCGGCTCGAATCAGCTACTCTGGCTGCAGCGCGGCGAGACCCGGGTATGGTGGAAACTCCGGCGTCCGAACGCGCTCCCGGTCCCCCAACCCCATCCGGCAGGCCGAGACTGCAGAACCTCTAACAGTAATGCCTAAAGGGTCACCTTCGGTAGGGTGTCTACTTTGTTGGTTTTGTTTTGTTTTGATGATGCACAGATATTTCAGCTGTATTCTACTTTGGACACAGTTTTAAGTGTTGCCTGGTGACATCATCCTGCTCTTCGCAGGTGACCTCTGAGCGGACAGTCCGATCCGGTTTCTGTTTAGTCGAGGAGGAGGGGTGAGGGAAGGGAGCATCTGATTCCCTTGATCTGGCAAAATGGGGGCACCCTGATTCAGCAGTATTTTCAACTTTAGATGTACGAGGCCATCCTTCAACTTCGCAGCGCCTCTCCCCCGACCCGCACTGCTCTCTCATTAGGGCGCTCTCTGGAGTCGCGTCCTCGGGTGAGGCAGGCAGAGGCCTGTGCCAGAGGCCGGCTACCAGCCCGTCTGTCACTGTGCCAGGCTAGATGAGTGAAAGCTGAATTTCCGCAGCCATGCCCACATCTGAGTGGGGCTCTTCATAAATTGGTACCTGGATCCTGGAAAGTATCTCAAACAGTGTTCAGGGCAGTCCTGTCTTTTTATCCATGGGATCAAGTCTTTGAATAATCATCTTGACTGGCCCAAGGTCACACTCTTCTAGTTAACGGTGTAGTCCTGGAATCAGGGCCTCGTGTGATTTCCCTGCCAGGAACACTTTGTATTTCTCCCCACCCCCAACACCTTTACAGGTGAATCAGCTTTGTGTTATACCAACTCTTCCTTCATCCCACCCCTTTTCACCTTCCAGGATTTATGTTTATAATCCCTTTGGGGGTAAAACCCATTAATTGTTTTGGTGATTATTTGGTACTTAGTCCACATGGGTCTTTAACACAATGATTCAGAAGTCTGGCATGGATTACTAAACTGATGTGAGTTGACCCTGAAATAAATCGGGGTGTAATGCTAGCTTTTTTATTGAATTTAAAAACTATCTGAAAGGTAGTTCCTAAACAAGACAGACCTGTTACCTTTTCATCTTTGCTCATACTGTTTCCTTAGTCTGACATTATCTCTACCTTGCTATTCCTCAGATCAGTAAAAAGTCACCAGACCTGTTTGGGAGCTAGGTTTGTGCTAAATTGAGAATCATTCTTTCTCCACAGAAGGCTTCCAGGAAGTCTACAAGTGGGTCACAGTGTTGGTTAAACATTGTGAAGAATGACCAGCTTTAGCACTTCCCATGTATTTTAACAATCAAACAGGATTAAATATGTTGTCTTGTTATGAGGAAAAGAATATCATCAGTTTTCGGGGGTGAGACCTTACATAGGAATGCAGCTCTTGTGTCATCTCAGAGTCACAAACATCTAAATAAATGTCAGAAGCATTAGTTTACATCTTAGAATCTATAATTATTTCCCAGGTTCTCTGGTGCTCCCTTTTTTAATCAGGAAAAATTGCAACTCCTGTTTTTTTTTTTTTTTTTTAAAGATGGGGATAGACATCTGATTATTGGTATTCAGATTGCATTGTAATTCCTAAGAAAGTCTGTATTCATGCAAAACAAGAGTTCATTTAGGAAATCAGTGCAAGGGGCACTTAAGGATAAACTAGATGTAAAAGATGCCTCTTGGTTTGTAAACTTAGCAAATCAGTGAATTCTCATCATTGATAGAATAGAGTCAAATTTACTTATTTAAATAGAGCTCAAGTAGATTTCAGAATTCTATTCTGAATCAAAGACACTCTTCTGTTGTTTTGTGCTGATGGATTAACTGGCACCTTTGATGTTCCAGATGCTATCAAAACACTGTTTTTGTGGCAGAGGATCAGACAATTTTAGAATAAAGCAAGTATACATTGTTACTAGAAAAATACTCTCTGGAAAAATACCATAGAACACAAATAAATTGGAAATGTGATTCATGCTTCTTTGTCAAGCAGATGTCCAACATGCTGTAGCTTTAAAAATAAAGACTCCTGTCACACACTTTTTAATGGCACATGACTAGCTATAGCAACATCTGTGTGAGAATCATAAGAGAATGGAAGAAAAAGTGCAATACACTTTCACCTTTTTATAGGGGAGGACAGTACAAAACAAGGAGAGGATAGAAACAGAGGAATTTATTATTGCTAAAAAAAGTTCACTCATCAAATTGATTTTATTAAAGAACTCATGAACTGGGCAGTATCCCTTCCAGCTAATTGAAAGCCCTACCATGGGTTGTAGAAAAAT